TCCTCTGGCCTCTCTCCTCTGGCCTCTCTCCCATGGTCTCTCTCTCTGGTCTCTCTCTCTCTCTCTCCTCTGGTCTGTCTCCTCTGGTCTCTCTCCTCTGGTCTCTCTCCTCTGGCCTCTCTCTCGCTCTGGCCTCTCTCCTCTGGCCTCTCTCCTCTGGTCTCTCTCTCTCTCTGGCCTCTCTCCTCTGGCCTCTCTCCTCTGGTCTCTCTCTCTGGTCTCTCTCCTCTGGTCTCTCTCTCTCTCTCTCTCCTCTGGCCTCTCTCCTCTGGTCTCTCTCTCTCTCTGGCCTCTCTCCTCTGGCCTCTCTCCTCTGGTCTCTCTCTCTGGTCTCTCTCCTCTGGTCTCTCTCTCTCTCTCTCCTCTGTCTCCCTGCCTCTGGTCCTGCTCCCTAAAGACCAATGTCTTGATGTGTTTGTTATAATTGCGTGTCTTGTGCTGAACTGTTTGATTCTCTGATCTGTTGTTGGTGAATCCACAACTTAATCAAGTCGACACACAAATACGTTGAATAACGTTTGATAATATGAAACGGCTAAACCAACATACAGCACAAGCTCAGCTAAAGGTCTAAAGAACTGGATCAGAAGAAGACCCAGAGATGGACTAATATAAAATGGATGAATGGATTATTAACATCAGACACATTGTGTAAATGAACAGGTCTGTGTTGGTTCAGGGTCAGAGCGAGGTTTGAGCAGAAGTGACTCCACAATGAACAGGAAACAGAATGAGGAAGACAAAGAAACAGTGGAAGCTTGTGGTTTACAGAAGAACACGGTGAAGGAAGGAAAGAGAAGATTCTGAAAGTTTCAAAATGTGAACAAATATAAATGGATTAAATCTAAACGTGTGGATTAAAGTCTGAATCAGAAGCAGTGGGGTCAGTTTCACTTTGAGCTGCAATTCTCTAAGAATGTCCAGGTTTAGTCATGATCCTGAATCAGTGCTGAGTCTGGATAAGTCTGACGTCAGGAGTTCCAGAGAAAGAGCTCGAGGGAAGTCAAAAATATGTCACAATCACAAATAAATGAACCAAAATCCCCAAACGTTACAGAACATGACACAAGGACAGACTGAAGCTGGACGGACATGAAGAGGCTGATACAGAACATGACACAAGGACAGACTGAAGCTGGACGGACATGAAGAGGCTGATACAGAACATGACACAAGGACAGACTGAAGCTGGACAGACATGAAGAGGCTGATACAGAACATGACACAAGAACAGACTGAAGCTGGACGGACATGAAGAGGCTGATACAGAACATGACATAAGGACAGACTGAAGCTGGACGGAATGAAGAGGCTGATACAGAACATGACACAAGGACAGACTGAAGCTGGACGGACATGAAGAGGCTGATACAGAACATGACACAAGGACAGACTGAAGCTGGACGGACATGAAGAGGCTGATACAGAACATGACACAAGGACAGACTGAAGCTGGACGGACATGAAGAGGCTGATACAGAACATGACACAAGGACAGACTGAAGCTGGACGGACATGAAGAGGCTGATACAGAACATGACACAAGAACAGACTGAAGCTGGACGGACATGAAGAGGCTGATACAGAACATGACACAAGAACAGACTGAAGCTGGACGGACATGAAGAGGCTGATACAGAACATGACACAAGAACAGACTGAAGCTGGACAGACATGAAGAGGCTGATACAGAACATGACACAAGGACAGACTGAAGCTGGACGGACATGAAGAGGCTGATACAGAACATGACACAAGGACAGACTGAAGCTGGACGGACATGAAGAGGCTGATACAGAACATGACACAAGAACAGACTGAAGCTGGACGGACATGAAGAGGCTGATACAGAACATGACACAAGAACAGACTGAAGCTGGACGGACATGAAGAGGCTGATACAGAACATGACACAAGGACAGACTGAAGCTGGACGGACATGAAGAGGCTGATACAGAACATGACATAAGGACAGACTGAAGCTGGACGGACATGAAGAGGCTGATACAGAACATGACACAAGGACAGACTGAAGCTGGACAGACATGAAGAGGCTGATACAGAACATGACACAAGAACAGACTGAAGCTGGACGGACATGAAGAGGCTGATACAGAACATGACACAAGGACAGACTGAAGCTGGACGGACATGAAGAGGCTGATACAGAACATGACACAAGGACAGACTGAAGCTGGACGGACATGAAGAGGCTGATACAGAACATGACACAAGGACAGACTGAAGCTGGACGGACATGAAGAGGCTGATACAGAACATGACACAAGGACAGACTGAAGCTGGACGGACATGAAGAGGCTGATACAGAACATGACACAAGGACAGACTGAAGCTGGACGGACATGAAGAGGCTGATACAGAACATGACACAAGAACAGACTGAAGCTGGACGGACATGAAGAGGCTGATACAGAACATGACACAAGAACAGACTGAAGCTGGACGGACATGAAGAGGCTGATACAGAACATGACATAAGGACAGACTGAAGCTGGACGGACATGAAGAGGCTGATACAGAACATGACACAAGGACAGACTGAAGCTGGACGGACATGAAGAGGCTGATACAGAACATGACACAAGAACAGACTGAAGCTGGACAGACATGAAGAGGCTGATACAGAACATGACACAAGGACAGACTGAAGCTGGACAGACATGAAGAGGCTGATACAGAAACATGACACAAGGACAGACTGAAGCTGGACAGACATGAAGAGGCTGATACAGAACATGACACAAGGACAGACTGAAGCTGGACGGACATGAAGAGGCTGATACAGAACATGACACAAGAACAGACTGAAGCTGGACAGACATGAAGAGGCTGATACAGAACATGACACAAGGACAGACTGAAGCTGGACGGACATGAAGAGGCTGATACAGAACATGACACAAGAACAGACTGAAGCTGGACAGACATGAAGAGGCTGATACAGAACATGACACAAGGACAGACTGAAGCTGGACGGACATGAAGAGGCTGATACAGAACATGACACAAGGACAGACTGAAGCTGGACGGACATGAAGAGGCTGATACAGAACATGACACAAGGACAGACTGAAGCTGGACGGACATGAAGAGGCTGATACAGAACATGACACAAGAACAGACTGAAGCTGGACGGACATGAAGAGGCTGATACAGAACATGACACAAGGACAGACTGAAGCTGGACGGACATGAAGAGGCTGATACAGAACATGACACAAGGACAGACTGAAGCTGGACGGACATGAAGAGGCTGATACAGAACATGACACAAGGACAGACTGAAGCTGGACAGACATGAAGAGGCTGATACAGAACATGACACAAGAACAGACTGAAGCTGGACGGACATGAAGAGGCTGATACAGAACATGACACAAGAACAGACTGAAGCTGGACAGACATGAAGAGGCTGATACAGAACATGACACAAGGACAGACTGAAGCTGGACGGACATGAAGAGGCTGATACAGAACATGACACAAGGACAGACTGAAGCTGGACGGACATGAAGAGGCTGATACAGAACATGACACAAGGACAGACTGAAGCTGGACAGACATGAAGAGGCTGATACAGAACATGACACAAGGACAGACTGAAGCTGGACGGACATGAAGAGGCTGATACAGAACATGACACAAGGACAGACTGAAGCTGGACGGACATGAAGAGGCTGATACAGAACATGACACAAGGACAGACTGAAGCTGGACGGACATGAAGAGGCTGATACAGAACATGACACAAGAACAGACTGAAGCTGGACGGACATGAAGAGGCTGATACAGAACATGACACAAGGACAGACTGAAGCTGGACGGACATGAAGAGGCTGACGATACTATGGACCAAACACTAACTAATATATGTATTTATTAAGTACAAGTAAGAATCATGAAACCGTAATAATAATAGTAATAATATTGTCAACAACTGTATAATAAAAACTTTCACATAAGCCTCGTCACATCCTGAGGCTCACATTAAGTAACCATGTCATCCAGCCAACTGTAGCTCCGCCAGAACAGATGTGTTTCAGATCTTTCACAGTCGTGCAGACGCAGGTCTCA